TCCAATAGATCCATGGATGTAATATTTAAAAGAATTAGTACAAAAAGGCTTAGCGGCGCAACTTGATACCCGTTTGTCATCTCATTCGTTGTACGATGATAATTATTATATTTGAAAATTAATTGTTTTAAATGAAAGTGTGAAAACATAAAGTTTAAAAATTCCATCCTAGTTCGATTCAATTTAATAATAATCAATTAACCCAATTTTGCTTAAATTGGAAATAAAAATATTTATTAAAATTGTTTATGTTTCATTAATCTTCCTATTTAATAAATAAAACCTTTTGTCTACGTGTCACTTCCACCAAACATTTTACATCAAAATGAATTTCTAGTTGTACCCTCCTTCATTCAATATTCAATTCAATTCCTTTTTTTTTTGGATCTAATCTAAATTCATTTGTGTATACATTATTATTTACAAAATAATTTTTTACTATCATGTTTTTAATAAACTACTTTAATAAAATTTTAATAAACTACTTTAATAAACTACTATCATGTTTTAATAAACTACTTTAATAAAATTTTTTACTATCATGTTTTTAATAAACTACTTTAATAAAATTTTATAATTCTTTAATTTTTTATTATCATTTTTAATCATCAATATTATTCTTTTTTTTTCTTACCCGTAAGTTCTACGGGTTGTAACCTAGTAATATAAAATTCTAAACCAAAAACAAAAAGTATAATAAGATTATAGTCGGCCCAGTTTGTTGAGTGTGACGTGGCCCAGCTGGTTAGGAAAAATGAAACGCATTTCCCCATGCATCTCTCTGTCTCCCGATCTCTGCGCCGGTTCACCGCTCTGCTCCGCCTCACCGCCTGCTGCCGTCCTTTGCTGCCACCTCTTGTTTTGAGGTATTTTTTATTTCGAAATGTCTTACTACTTGTTATTTGTTAATTGTTTATGTTTTTATACTTTAATGTTAATTGTTAAGGTTTGTAAATTGAGGAAACGGGTTTCTTGAAAATCTATTGATTGTTAATTTTTAATAATTTGTTAGGATTTGTTGAAAATTACAATTTCTTTGTCAAGTAGAATTTTAATATAAGTTGGATAATTTTATGATATGTAGAACAGTATAATGATAATATATCCATGGAAACATAATAATTTGAACTCTCCAAATTCAATTAAACCCTAAAGTTAAAAAGCAATTCTTCATCATTAATCAAACCCCACTGTAAAACCCCCAAAATTGCTATCAAAAGATGCAAAAATTATCTCAACTTGGCATAAATTATATGCACAACATAGAAGGATGATAGAATAGTTAGCCAAAAGCCCTAGAGTTATAAATTTCGATATGAGAATGAGAGTTTATTAAATTTCATTAAAATGAGTTATTATGTATAATAATATTTCAAACATTGATATAAAAAATTAGGTGGTAAAACTATAGATGGCGTCATGCATAGCACGCTAATCAATAGTCAATATTAACTTGTCTATCAGAAATGCACAAGAGCCACTAAGCGAAATAATAGTAAAATAAAGAAACATATAGTTAAAAAGTCAACTTGTAAAAAACATATAGTTAATTGATACTATGATTTATGCTTGGAAACGTGATATTATGAGTGTCTTAAAAAGAGTTGGAATTGAGCTTTGATATTGGACATTATTGTTAGATACTTAGATATACATACACCATATGGATCATGGATGGGTGAAGAATGGGAATCGGATTTGTAGTGAGTATGTGGATGGTGTAAAGGAATTCCTAAATGTCCCCTGAAAAACTTTGAATTCTAATGGGTTAACTTTATGCCCATGTGCTAATTGTCTCAATGCAAGACTACAAAATATGGGTGTCATTCGTGCCCATTTGATTCAAGTAGGAATTGATAGGTCGTATACACGGTGGGTGTACCATGGTGAAGATCAAGTGAATGAGGAATGTTACTTTGGTATAAAGTAAAGAAGTTACAAAAATATTCTAATTTGGACTTCTTTTGTTTGCTTGAAGTTATTTTGGTTATTTTGGTATAAGATATAATGCTACTTTAAGCTCTTTGAAACTTTTGTTTTCTTAACAATGAGTTAGTCCATGAACGTAACTTTCTTTATAAGAACGTAACGTACTTTGAAAAAAAATATTACCTTTTCACAATAGTTTAGTGTACCGTTGGTCCTAGTATATTGTACATATTTTTAGAACATGATTCCAACAATAGTTTATTTATAAACATAATTTCCAACAAAAATGTATTTAGAAGCAGCATTCCAATAATAGTTTATTTATAAACTCAATTCGAGTAACATATCTCATGATTCAATAATACCAAAAAATAGATTGTAAAGTTTATATCTTGGAACTGAAGATTTAAAACAGAAACAATAACATACTAGAACTAAAAAACAAAAACAGTTTACCAACTACTGAAAAACTGAAATAGGAAGAGTAAAATGACGAGTTTAAATGAAATGCTTTTTTTGCAAAGTCGGCATCAATGCGTCACACCTCCCTTTTGAAGCGTCGCGCTTTCACATCATTTTTGTCTCAACTTCGGACGACTATAACTTCTTCATATAAAATTGAATTTTGATTATCTTTATATCCACACATTCGTATTCGAGTTAAGTACAATTTTATTTTACATTATTTATACCAAAAAGAATTATATTTTTACTTGTAATCTCATAAACAAGAGGGTATACATTATTCGTCTTTAAAACGATACACCAACACATACCTTACATTCACCCCTTTCATATATTATAGTAAAATGCTTTTCTTAACCTATTGATCAATTTATAATAGTATTACACCTCTTGTAATATACTTGTTATGAAAAACAAGTGTTACATTGAAGCACCATACCTGCAATCGATGATACATAATTATGAGTTGAGGTTTTTTTATTTTTTTTATTTTAACATAATCTATTTTCCCGCCAACACAAAAATCGGCTATCCAAACTTGCAATTAGCGATCCCAATTGCGTTTATGTGAAATCTAATTTGCCAAAAACATGTTTTGAGGACCGGTCCAAATACAAAACGTAAACATATTGCATTTGGGAACACTATGTTTGGAAGATGGATCGTTAAATTCCAACAATCCATATGACTATGGTGGTTATTTGAATAAAAAACTTACAAAATCTCCTAACATCTATTTCATAATCTGATCATATAATGTCCGAATCAAATCGACCGATGACGTGGTATCCCAATTTGATAGGGATACCATTTACCTTCTACAAAGTAAAGTCATTCGAGCCATTAAATTTCAGTAACTCAAATTTTTGGGATGACATTTTTTCAATAGTTAAAACAAACCGTATCTTTGATACCACTTGTTAATAATCAAACGAGCTCTGATACCACGTGCTATGAATAAGACAATCTCTGATACCACTTTTTAGGAATAAACAAGAAAGAATACGAAATCACACATACACACACACAAAGAAACAATATTTAACGTGATTAGGTCAACGTTACCTACGTCTATATATCATGAAGGAGTATAATTATTCACGAGCTCAAACAGAGCAACAATACAATCAAGACATACAAAATACCTTACAAAGATTCTTTGAAGACCAAATAAAAAATCATCAATGAATCCTATCTATCAGCCTTATTTATAGGCTGAGGGGTCAGACATAAAACCTAAAACCTGATAGGCCAGCCCATCTATTCATAGATCCAAATAGATGTCAACCAATTATATGACATCACACAACTATTTCTAGAATGTTCAACCTTGAAGAATATGCAATGCAGCTTGCCATGCACCTAGGCAACACACTATAGACTATAGAGCAGTCAACGCATCCAGAAGCACATTTTGTTCTCATGGAGCGCATTCAACAACAAGCAACATATCCAACATAGCTTAGAGCGTGCGCTAAAAAGCCAACACATTCTCCATTAGGTTTCAGTGCATTCTTTAAGAGCTCAACACAAATGCTCCAGCACGTCTTTTGAATGTTCAATGCTTAAGTCACATTTAACTAAGAGTACCCTAAAGTCATGGTGGAGCATCTTAAAGTCATTTTTATGAATTCCTTTGAATGAAAAATGGCAAGTGTTATGCAACGTCTTTAACAAGGATATAACAACTTGATTAAAAAACAAATGTAAATTACACTTTATCGTGATTTTACAGTATCTATGGGGGAACACGTTTTTCATCTTATTTGGTTGATTTCAAAGGAAAATAAGAAAAAGACAAGAAAATACAAATTAGATGGAAAACTATAACAATTAAATATGAAATTTGTGAATGGTAACGAGTGTCATTGTGAAATGCACATCTTTTGTCAACATTCTCTGCATATTTGCTAAACTTCACCAATCCATTCTTCTTATCACTGAATTCAATGGTACCATGCCTGGTTATAAAGTATAATTTAAAATTTTGGGAATGGGGAAGTCAACATCGAATTTATATTTCCTCTTGAAGTTGGTGGAGGCACATGATCACATGAACTTAATCAATTAATTTAATTGCATATATATCTTTTTTGTTTACAAACTATTTATATATATAAAAAAATAGATTAATTAATATTATTAATTATTTTTCTGACGCATCAAGTGCTTTACAAAAGATCGAACAAGTGCACATGTGGTGATCTTGGTGCCCGTGATAACTTTTAAACTAACTACATTAACTACATCACATGTTTACCTTATTATATAATTTTTCATAAAATTGAGATACGGTATAAAATGATACTTAATTAATAGTTAATATATTTTTACGAAATATAAGATATATTTTTCACATTTAATTATAAAAGAAGGGAGAACATTAAAAGGTCTAGAGGTGTATGAGAAAAATATCAACTCTTCAAATTATCGGGGTTCAAGTATCATAATAAACAACACGTATAGATTTATAAAATAATGTTAATAAATGTATAAATTAACCATTCTAAAAAATCTAAAACTTAAAAAAGTTTAAATAAATGCAAATTAATATGAAAACTTTAGTTCAAGAATATGCCAACAATTGGCAATGGAGAACATTAAAAGGTCTACACTCATCTCTCATATTTTTCTCTATTTTTCCCGAAATTAAACGTAAAAACTACAAAATTCCAATAACTTAGAAAATTAAACCATTGACTTTTTCTTTAATTATGGAAAAGGTCTAAATTAATTTTAAATAACTAGATTTAGATTAGTTGCCTATAGTCGGGACCAATATGTTGGTGGATCAAGTAATCATCGTTGTTGGGTACATCAAATATCATGTTCGACTGATGAAAGAACTGTTGTTGTTGTTGCTGCTGATGGTGTTGATGTTGATGTTGATGTTGAGACTGATGTTGATGTTGATTTTGATGCATATATTGATGTTGATGCATCTCATTCTGTCTTCTTAGCTCCATCACTTTCCGATGGGAATTTGAGTGCTTGGCGGTGACAAACGTCGGACTAGCTGCCGGACGATACTCTGGTACTAACCGACCAGACTTAAAACGGACCCCACAAGCATTACAAAGCGTTTTGGGACCCAAAGGTCCCGTACGCCACTGTGGGGTCTTATCAGTAGCACAGTGCAAACATTTCCTCCCGTCCCCATTATGCGACGGGTTATCGTAAACTTCCTTTCTCTTTATTCCAGCTTTCATGATCTTCTTTCTGATCGAGCTCGAAGCAATATCAGACTCTGACTCAGATGACATGGTGACGGTGGTCCCACTTGCAGTAGGAGACACTGCAAGGAGTCGTGAGGTCCAATTGCATGGTGCAGCCCGAGACCGTTTGGTCCGAGCCTTTCCCGGGACCGCCATGTCGGTGTTGAAGATCGGGTTGTTGGCCTTGCTCACGGTCTCGGGTTGGAATTGTTGGTTGTTGGATGTGTAGTTGGGCCGGGTTTTAATTCCGGATATTAGTTGTAACTTTTGCAAGTCCTCACAAGAAAATGATTCCTCCACCACGTTCGATAGCCATTCCAGCTCAGCTAAATCATCGTACTGTTACAAACAGTAGCTCGGATTAAAATCATAAATTAAAACAAATATCAAAATTTAATAGTTCATTTAATTGATAAGTAATGTCCTTTAATGCATGACATGCAGATATGATGAGGGATGGTACGGTACAACTCAAAGATGCATTAAATTTGTTTCAGCGAATCACAAGGAAAAAGTAATAGTAATAAATGAAAGAAATGAATGAATGAATTACCGGGACACAAAGGTCACTGGTGAACGGAGCATCGGTAAAGCTCCGGCGAGGGATATCTCCGGGAGAGTTATGTTCGGCGCCACCACAGAGAGGGGAGTTACAAGTGTCAACGATGGTAGAGGAATCCGTGGAGGCGCCGGAGACAATGTTTTCTGCAACCGCAGGTACCATTTCGTCGGCGGGGAAATTGAGGAGGTCATCGATGAGAAAATTTTCGGTTTTGAGTTTCTCCGGAGAGAATTGCTGTGGGTGATTGAGAGATGATTCATCAACGAATTCAGTGTTTTCCATATTCATTGTGTTTGAGGAATCGAACAATGGTAATGTAATTGGGGGGATTTTCTGGAAATGTAACGTAGAAAAAGGAGATGTTAGTGAGAGAGAGAGAAAGAGAGAGTGTAAGAGTGTGAGAAACGTAGAGAGGAGAGACTTTAATTGCGTTTGAAGGGGACAGCCGGACCGCTACAAAAATGGAGGACTAATTTGACGAAGACAAAAATATTAATATAATTATAAATAATTAATTACATAAATTTGAAAAATAAAAACTATTTTTTATGATAAATCTATTATATTGCAGGTTTTTAAGAATACGAGAAGAGCTATGATTTTGTAAGTAATAAAACTCAACAAGTAAATATATAGTACTATATATTATAAAAAGCGTTATGAGATAATGAACTTTAGTAACAAAATAGTCGTGTATGGTGGTGCCCGTTAAAGAGGAGGCGTATGGTGGAAGACTATGGAAAAGGAATAATCCCGTTGCTTCATAACAAGGTCATGTTTTGCAGACCCTTTTAAGACCATACCTTCATCATCTTCTTCATCTTCAAGATATTATTTTTTCTTATTTTAATCTCTCTCTCTCTCTCTCTCTCTCTCTCTCTCT